GTAACCATTTATTTGTCCCTCTGCAGTTTGTTCTGTGGGATGGCCTCGGGCCCTTGGTCCACGGATCAGCTGTCTCGTAGAAAAACTGCACGTTGGGAACTGAATCGGATTCCTCATGGCTTTGTATAAGATTCCAGGAAAATAGATCTGTGAACAACACTCGCTTGGGTGGCTACATTCTTACTGGAAGATTCACAGCCACATCCAATGATGCTTGATGCTGCCTTAGACAACTCACCCGTGTCTGGAACCTCAGTCAAGTCCCCACAACCACCCCAGAGGTAACTCTTCCACTTTCTGATGTGAATGAGCTGCTTCCTCCTGAACTAGGATGGATTCACTATTACCTGTCCCAGTATTCCAAACAAACAACAGCCTCCCAAAAACAAAACAAACGAACAAAAAATCCACTGCTCTTGCCTGTCTAAAACAATGGCCTTATACTTTTCCTTCTTTCTCAAGGTTCACTGCCTCTTGAGACCTCTTTGCTCACATTAAGAGCAAAGAACTCTTGCTGCCCTGATATGCATTCTCTGTGGTTTGAGTGACAGCCTGCCTTGTATGGTTCATTTTATGGTTATGTGTCTTATCTCTCCAATCTGACTATAAACTCCTTAAGGTCAGGGACTGAGACACATTCATTCACGTTTTTATATCCCCCAGGGCTTAACATAATGTTCAATAGATGTTTGTTGCTAGTTTTATATGGATGAAAAAAGGACAGACACTATATCAAAGAAATGGCAGTTGCTAAAAACAAATGCAAAGCAAGGGCTGACACTGTTCCAATTTCAACAGAAGACTTTCCTTTACTCAGGTGTTCAGAGAGCCAAGACACAGATCTGTCATACTCCACAACTGGCCTCTAGTATCAACTGGCCTCCAGTATCAATGTCAAGACTTTCATCGCAGCCAATAGAAGAGAGGCAAAAGCAATTCTAACACCAGGTCTTTTTCCTTTAGCATGTGAACAGGAAGTTACATACATCACTATTGAGGACATTGTTTTCCCTAGGATCTAGCTGCAAGGGAAGCTAGAAACTATAGTCAAATGAGGCTCTCAATCAGATCCCAGCTATGACTCTGTTACTGGGAAAAGGGGAGGGAAAGTGGCTTTAGTGGGTGATAGGCATCCTCTCCACAGACATTCTGTATACCTTCCTCATCTACACAACTAGTCAATATTTTCTGCTAATGAGAATGCATGTTCCATGCTGTGCTAAAACAGCCTTCTCATACAATATTGGCACAATCTGGAAATTCCTTGCAATCACAAAATGAATCTTATTTCTCATAGGAACCACATTTTGGAGATTATTTAGCATCTCTCTTCCTCTCTCCCACCTCTCTCTCCATCCTTTTAGTAGAAAAGGAAAACCCTATCCTCTCCATGTGTGACCATAAGGACCACTTCTGTTGCTGTATGCCAAAGAGATTGGGACTTGCCTTTCTTTCAGCTTCCAGAACTATCATGTTTCCAAAGCCATGCTGACTATAGTCTATAATAGATGTACCCAGACCAGTGGCCCCAGCTCAGCTACCCATATTGAACCCATTTAGTACTCAATTTCAATTCAATTCTAAAACATTTATCGATTGCATAAGACTAAGTGGATACTGAATTATTTTCAGCCAGAATTCTTGCCCTAAACTTATTTAGAATCCCAGGAAGGAGGCAGATACAAACAACAGACTCCATTCCAAAATACAACAGAGTGAGTCTAACTTGAAGCACAAGCAAAATACGGGGACACTTGTGGCCAAAGGAAAATCAATCTATATAGACAGCCAGGAAAGACTTGGGAACATATTGAGATGGAAAGATTTCCTAGAGGGGATGGCATTTGATCAGGCCCTCAGTGGATGAGTAGAATTTAGCCAGTGTCAGAGAAAGAAAGCAAAGGCACAGGGATGTAAAGAGCATAGATTGGAAAGCACTGGTATCCGTTGGGGTGGAGGGCAGGGTACAGGTAGGTAGGGTGAAGGATGTGACTGGAGGGACTTTGAACAGATACAAAGCCTCCATGGACAGGACCAGTGATGACTGGGGATGGCTGAAGAGTGCAGGGGCTTGATGAATTACTGGTGGAAGGAAGACAACCCCACTGATTGCAGGAGGGTACGATGGAAGAGAAGGAAGAGCACAAACCTTGTACCTGAGTAATAGTTAGTCAAGCATTGTGCACGTTTTGTGTTTGGATGTACAAGGCAAGTCCTCCCATTATCAGTGCATCACAGGGTAGTGAGAGAACTCACACCCTAAGTGCCGAGTCGGAAGGATTTGACTCCCATCCGTGCTAACCACAGAGCATGAGCCCCCTGACAAGAGACCCCTGCATATACTCGTGTGACAGTAACTAAACCTGTACACTCAGAGAGCAATAAAGACAGCTCCAAAGGAGATGACACGGGCTGGGGAGGTCACCCAGGGTAGACTAGAAGGGAGAGGAGTCTGAGATTGGAGGAGGGAAAAGGACGAGAATTCTGCTTCGTCACAGTGGATTTTGAGTGCGTGGAAAAGAAAACTATGAGAGCATCAAACTGTCCCAGGGGGTCAGGGCAGGGGGGTGGGAACGGCGGGGAGCTGCTGTCCGAGCATTGGAGGAACGGGTTAGAGAATTCACATCTGTGGATGCCAGGCCTGTCAGCTAAGCACAGGGAAACCAAACAGCCTGTGAATGAACAAAGCAAGAAAGCAAGTAGCTGCCTGAGCGAGCTCTCACCAACTGATTCAGGAGAAAAATTCAACTTGATTGACTAGCCCGCAAGATACTGACAGCAATAAATCCTTTTGGCCAAGCAGAATTCGGCTCAGCTTTAAAGGTGTTATCGCTTTACATACCAAAATATCCATATATCTTGGGAAAGTATCAAAAATGATGTTTTTCCTTTCGTAGACTGGAATGTGAAATACCCACCGGATCTTCCTGGATGGCGCCGGGGTGAATACAGTCCTTGTTATTTCACATAAGCTGCTAAATATCTAGTTGAGTAAAATTATGGGCTCTTTGCACATGGAGTTTTTTCCACTTGATTCCTGAACACTAGGGCAGGAAATGTGACTCTGAGCTTTCCATTTAACAAGACAGGTACACTTCATGCAGTGGCAGAGGGTCCTAACAAAAACCATTTCTTTGTGCAATAACCAGAGGGCCACGCGTAGAATCAGAAAGACAGTCCTGGGATGGGGAATATAGCTCAGTGGGCAGAGCGCCTGCCTGGATTCCATCCTCATCACCGCAAAAACCAGATGTCTGTAATCTCCGCACTTAGGAAGTGGAGGCAGGATGATCAGAAATTCAAGGTTGTCCTCTCATGACCTACAAGAGCTCAAGGCTAGCTAGAATACATGGAGAGAGAGAGAGAGAGAGAGAGAGAGAGAGAGAGAGAGAGAGAGAGAACAAAAAAAATAATAAAGCCAGCTGCAGACATTGGAACTGAAACTACCTAGGGCTGTCAGCCCATGACCTTTACTCTGACCCAGGGACTACTTTCCCCAGAAGTGACCTGTCCGTTTTACAAGGCAGAGTGACTTCTTTCTCTCTAAATTCTTTCCACCTTCCTGGAGTGTAAATTTCTAGTTTTTCAGGTGGGACACCCATGTCCCCTGATCAGCAATGAGTGGAAACCAAGGGGTGGGGATAGAGAAAAAGAACAAGCAAAAAGACATACAACACCACATACACACACACACACACACACACACACACACACACACACACACACACAAAGAAAACAAAACAAAAGCCCAAACCCAAATGTTCCTTTATCCAGCTTTGCCGACCTTCTTTCTCACCACGTAGAATGAACAAACCCCAGTAAGACAATAAGGTCAAGCATGTCGTCAAAGCTCAGAGCTGTCGAGTTACTAGGGAGGCTATTTGCCAAATCCGAATGCATGAACTCTTAGAGTATAGAAACCAGAACGTGAATTAAGCCCATATCACTCAAAAAGAGCTGAATGCATCTGAAACCAAAGTACACTGTCAGCCACCTCCACTTGCTCCAGGCACTGATACCTTGATTAGCTATGCAAGAAGCTACCTGTTATTTTAGAGTTATATGAAGTCACCTCGGGGTATCTACAAGCTTCTCACGCACAAGGGACTAGCTGCCCCCCTCCCCCCTCTTCTTGGCTCCCAGCTCAGTTGTTGCTACATCCAGGTAAGTACTAGATCACGGATTGTTGTTGCATAAGCTGTCATTAAGGCAGCTCGCCTGCTCACAGGGGAACCAGTCAGCAAACAATAATGGTTTGTTGCTATGTACCCCCAAGATGAAAAGACACCCAGCATTTGGAGGGAAGAGGAGAAGCATGTCCCTCAAAGATAAAGGAGCCAAAAGGTTAATCTTTTTTAGAAATCGAAAAGGATTTAAAAATTAACCAAGTACTTTTGTCGTAGCCCGTCTTTTTAAAAAGAAATTGCCTCCTTTCCTAAAATAGTAACTAAAGTTATAGGAACAAAAGAATAGCTCACATGATAGGCATCTACAGGAGGAAGCCGCCAGTGCACACAGCATTACGGGCACTGCACGGCGCAACATGTTTCTACCTGACAGAGACAGATCCTATTTCCATACTAGACGGCTCAAAAACATTTCTACATGAAAATGTGATCATGAACATGAGGGACTGGCAGCTCAGCCTTCTAAAGCCAAGGTTAACAAGGGCTTTTGTATACTTTCCCAAATAAATAAGTTGCCACAGCTCACCTTTGACCTGCACTGTCCTTAATCTTTTAGCCTCAAGCTTTGCCCGGGAAGGGTGTAACGATTCTGGCTAACCGAGCTGCGCCCAAGAGAGCGTGGAACACTCACAACAGCTTAGACCGAAACCGCCTTAATCACTCACCTTTCATCTTCTCAGATTTCCAGTGTAACGATTCAAACCGTGTGTAGACTTCTCGGGCTTCGCTCCTCACCCTGCCCCCCACCCCCACCTCAAGACTTGACTATTCACGTGAGAGACAAAAAAAAAAAAAAAAAAGGACCAGATTTCTGTTTTCTGCTTATTCAGCCCTGGCTCCTGGTCACAGCCATCACAAGGACTTCACAGAACCCAGACTTCCACCTGACCTCAACTCAGGTTGTAGCCCCCTTACAACAGGCTGGGGTGCTTTACTGCTATTAGCATGTAAGGTCTGTGAATCCACTCTGCCCTGAGGACTTCATAAAAATCTTCCTTTACTCCACATGTGATTATGAAGCATGCGATTTATATTTCCAGCTGCAAAAATTTCTCATGCAAATAAATCCCTTTGACCTTAGGTAACCGAAGGCACCTTAGAAACGGGAGTCCGCAGCTTCGTCACGAGAACAACAGCCCCATCAACCGCGTCTGTGACTTACTTAGATGGGGCTGAATCCCAGCAAGGCAAGCTTCTCAGAGCCTGGTATGGATGACTAGAACCAGGACTACAAAGTGAGATTAACTTTTGTCTTTGGGGCTTATGAAAGTAAGGAGGTTAACTAGAATCCCACCCAAGTTTCACCACTGTGACGAGAAGTCTTCAGGCTGGTTAAAAATCCTGAAAATCGATGCCATGGTGATTGTGTAAGCTCTAAAAAATGGACACAGCATTTTGTCCCTTTTTGCTACCTTTCCTTCAAAACTTCAGGTGCTCTGAAGTTCAAATCTTAATTCAAATGTGTTAGGGAGAGAGATGGCAAATTGGAGACTCTCTTCTGATAGGGAGTTGATCATTTGCTGGGTGAGGTTCATGGTCCAGGAGAAAGACTGAGTAGCCCAGAAAGACAACCCAGTTGCAGCCCTTAACAGTCCCCTTCTCAACTAGACTGTGACTCCTTCTCAGTAGTGTGCAAGAAGAGGCAGGGGCATTTTCCTAATCAGGGGCATTTTCCTAATCATTTTCCTGATCAGGCTGAGAAGCCTCCAGTGGCGGGTCCATCACTATTTCCTCTATCAGTATGACCTCAGCTCCAGTAAACAATAGGTGAATGTGTTTGAAAGGCTCCCCTTGTCCCTGGAATCCTGTAGAACACTTTGCCATTGGCTAATTGCGTATGTACTCATCCCACAAATATTTACTCATGGTCTGCTCAGCTCTTCGGTACATGTTCCATCACACTGGAGACACACTAGAAGAGGAAGCCCTGGTCTCCTTCTCCCTCTCTGAGCAAATACATTCTAATTGCAAACAGTTAACTGGCAAGCCATTATTTGGAGACTGCCGTTGACTGTGTTCAAGCTCCAGGATGAAGGGTTTGCAGGGCGCAAACTTCCACAGAGTGTGTGTGTGCACGCCTATGCATGGTGTGGAGAGGAGTCTCACAGGCCACCGTGTGTATGCGGAGGCTAAATGACAACTTGGTGGGGCCAGTTCCCCCCTTTCACCTTTACATGGGTTCCGGGAATTGAACTTAAGTCGTCAGGCTTGTGTAGAGAGTATCTTTACCCACAGAGCCATCTTACTGGTCCCCTTATTCAAGCTGCTTCATTTTCACCTGGGCATTGATGAATCCATGCAAGACACACTTCCAGCCCTGAGAAGTAGAGCTCAATATTATCTGGCCAGGTCCGTGCTAGAATGGTCTTTGCATTCCATTCAAAAGCACATGATAACAAAATTTTGCACTTTTAACTTTAGGTATAATTGGGCAAACATATATTGTTCTTTTTCACAAAGTATAGCGCGACATCATAGATTTGATCAGCGGCATTTTATTACAAAATCAACAGGCAATAACTAGCTAGGTGACTCATGATGAGGTGTAGAGCCGCTCTTAGGCTATCTAAAAAGGAAGAAAAGTTCACTAAAGTTCAGTCTCAGAGAACACAAATCTAAAAGCTCAGAAGTTATTAAGAGAAATTTCTCAGCTCTCTGTAAGGGTGTGTTCCCTTAGAATCTGATTCTCACCAAGACTTCAGGAACATGTGATCATATTAGTGCTGTCAAGGGGATCAGGTCAGTTACAAGGTGGGAATCATTTCATCCTTCATTCTGTTTATCACAGAGCAGCAGGGTTTGAGTTGCAAGTGTTTATTATTTCTGAAGATATATTCATACAAACACGAGAAAGAGAAATTCTCCAAGGTGATGCTAGTTAAACACAAGGACCTCTAGGAGGTCACTTGAGGAATGATGGAGTCTTACCATTCCCCTATAGCATTCTCTCACGTAAGATGCTTTCTACATTCAAACTAATGGAAAAGGACTGGACCGGAGTCTGCAAAGAGAGGAAACTGCCATTAGGTAAACACATGCTAGCAGTCCTTTCTAAAGTAGATCGAGTGTCTTTAATCCTGCATCCTGGCCTCCAGAGGATTTATCGCTCTTATTTTCTCTTCTTTCTTTCCTTGTGGGGCTTGCCAAAGTAGACTTCATCTCTGCCTTAAAGCATGCAAACACAGAGTTCTGCCTTCCCTGATGAGTCAGATCTGTGCCAAGTGCAAGCTATAATGACAACGTTGTGTGCCAAGGAAAGGACAAGGTGATAGAAAGACCAACAGAAATGCCACTGTGTCCCCTCAACTGTTGGAGTTTACAAAATTAAGAGTTAAGCCAATATCCCTATACCTCACTATTGGCACACTCGTCCCCTGCCCCAACTCTGGCTCTGGCATAGTAGGACAATGTCACCTGTGTTAAGGCTGGTTTGATTTGTATGGATTTGGCATTTGAGGTTCTGCTCCACCATCCTCTGCTTCTGCTTCATGATGAGCGACTGTCTGCATTCTCTGATTCTCCCCTGCTTTCCCCATAAGCCTGCTAGTGGTCTGTCAAATTTGGAAGGTGCCAAAGCATGTGTCTAGCATGCAGTGACCTTCATTTCTAAACTGTTTTCCATCACTACCTAATCAACACCCCCACCTCAATCACCCACCCCCTGCCTTCTAGGAGGTCACCCCCCACTTCCACCTGTCATGGTATGAATATATATACATATATATATATATACATATATATATATACAATATATATATATATAGTAAGCAGCCTTCCATTTGTTACTCTTCTCACGCCCACAGTGACCAAAGAGGCTTCCAACTTTCTCCGTCCATCCCTGACACGCACACCCTCTGAGTTGCAGCGATGTGCAGTGAGCACACGGCTGGACATCGTCACAGGAAGGCCACCACCTCTCTTCCCTTAGGCCTAGCTTTGCTGTGTAGAGTATAGTGTGGCCATTGTCACGGAGACCCCAGCTGTGGAGTCACGCGGTATGTTTTACTCTTCCTACAAAGGACTTTCCGTGACTTATCTATCCTACCTCTTATTCAGCACATCAGTAAGTCTTCATAGAGTGTCTACTCTGTGCCAAAAAGTATTCCTAATTTGGGGAATAAATTGCCAGAGCGTGGGGGGAGAAGGGGAGTAATCTCTTACATCCTGAAGTTCACATGGGAGTTGTAGGAGATCTCACCCATAAAGATGGTGAGGATGGAGAGGATGATAGTGGTGGTGATGATAATGAATAAACAATGTAGACAGCTTCTTGGAAACTGAAGAAAATAATAAGGGAAAAATGTAATCAGAACAAAAATAAGACCATTGGGAATTCCCATCGCAACTCAGGCTGCAGTGTGCTGCGGCCTAATCCTTATTCCTCACTTCTCTGTCGCTTTTTCTCCTTGGGGCACACATTCAATCTTCATTACAAAATCCACACACATTCTGACCATTCTCAAACTCACTTCTCTTGATAGAGCCCAAATGTACGTATCCAGCTCTCTAGTGAAAACCTCCCCTTGGATATCATGCAGTTACTTTCAATCTCAGCTTGTTGAACAGTGACAATGGACAGTGATGGATTAAATTTAAACAAAGACACAGGTAAACCCCCGCTGAGGGATGATATTCAAGGTTAAAGTGGCTTCATGGATACTATAACCATAATCCAAAGTGATTTTCATAGAGCTATAGACAGCCTGATTCTACGTAAATTGTGAAGGAGGACCCACCACGATTTTTTTTTTGTTGTTGTTGAAATAGTTTTTGCTTCATGGAAATGTTGCAAACAAAGTATAGAATAATTTACCATAAGTCCTTCACAGTATCCCCCAATATTAACACATATTTATTATATAATGTTCATAAACATAAGTTATAGATCGTATTTGGTTTTCCTCCGGTTTTAATTCATATATACAGACTTCATTCCCTTTGTCCCCTGTTTTCCCCCAATGTCCTTCTGTGGTGCCTGTTTCTCTTCCAGGATCTCACACAGATTTCAGGAGTTGTGCCTGCTAGTTTCCTCTAATCTGTGTACACGGCTGCTCAGTATTTCCTTGTCATATGGCTGCTCAGGTGATGAGTAATGGTCAGGTGTTTTGTAGAATGTTCTATAGTTTGGATTTATCTGATATTTCCTCATGAGATTGTATAGCATCTTTAGGAAGATTATTGTAGAAACTACGTAGGTCTTCAATCATCTCAATATGTCAATGTACTTAGTAACTGGTAGTGCTGGGTTCCAATGTTTCTTGACAAATTAAAATGTGAGGAACAAGAGAATAAGAGGAGTCAATAATGACTTCAAGGATTTTATTATGGGAAACTGGAATTATGAAATTATCTATTGTGACAGATGCAGAATAGGGAAAGAGAGGAATTCACATTTGAACACATTGAAGTTGGATTTGTACGTTACCCAAGAGCAGTTTCCAGCATAGAATTGGATACACAAGTTTAAGATTTAGGAGAAAGGTCTTGCAAGCAAAGCAAATTTAGGAACTGCCAGGATGTATACAGTTGCCAAAACTGAGACTGAGTGTTTGTACCAAAGAGGAAATAGAGAAGGACCATGCCCTGGAACGTCACAACAGCATAAAATTGGTGAGAAGTGTGTGTGTGTGTGGGGGGATCTCAAACAAGGTTAAGAATAGCAGCCACTGGGCTGGGGAAATGGCTCAGTGGGTTAAGGCGCTTGCTGCCAAGTCTCATCATCTGAGTTTGCTCTCTCAGACTCACATAGTAGGAGGGACCAACTCAGGCAAGTTGCCTCTGACTTCCACACGCACCATAGCTTGCTTGACCACACACACACAAACACACACACACACACACACACACACACACACACACACACACACACACAAATGCACACAATTAAATGCAATTAAAATGAAAAAAAAAAACCAAGTAGCAACCACTAAGGTAACTCTTAGCTCACTTTTTTCTTCCATTTTTGTTTCATTGAAAATAGATTATTTTTGTACAATCTGTTCTGATTATGGCTTCTCCTCCCCCAACTCCTCCCAGATTGTCCCCAAGTCCCCCTCTCGTCTGAATCCACACCCTTTATGTCTCTCATTAGAAAACAAATGGGCATCTAGGGGATAATAATAAAATAAATAAGATAAAACAAAACCAGACAAATTGGGACAGGACAAAACAAACAGAAGAAAAAGAGTAAAGAAAAAGGCACAAGAAAAACATGCATGCGGAAACACACACTCACACACACACAGGTATCCCAGAAAAACTTAAAACTGGAAGCTGTAATATATACATGAAGACCTGTAAGGTAAAAATAAATAAATAAAATAAAATAAACCACACTAACAAACCTGGCACAGATAACTGAGTAGTTCAAGGTGTCTCATTCTCAGCACATTGGCTGTTGGTCTCTGTATTTATTGCCATCTTCTGCAGAAAGAAGCATCTCCATGATGGCTGAGCAAGCCCCTGATCTCTGAGCACAGCAGCACGTCATTAGGAGTCATTTTATTGCTACGTTCCTTTAGCAAGCAGTAGTATTTGGTTTTCCTCTAGGTCGCTGGCCTATCTAGTCTCAGATTCTTGGCCAGCTGAGCAGTGTCGGGGATGGGCTCCCTGGCATGTAGTGGGCCTCCAGTGCAATCAGACATTGACTGGAACCCTAAGGAAGAGGAGGCAGAAAGGTTGTAAGAGCCAGAAGGGATGGAGGACAGCAAGGACACAAAGCTCTCTAAACACAGCAGGAGCGATGCACGTATGCACTCACAGAGACCCTGGCAGCACGCACAGGACCTGCACAGGTCTGCACCAGATGTGATGCCAGTGCCAAGAGGAGAAATGGACACAAGCCCCAGTCCCTCACCCGGAAGTTATTTCCAGCTGATAACCATTCACAGATGAAAAAAAAAATCCGTTTTATCCAATGGAGTCCCACTGGGGAATACAAGCCATTTTTAAGGACAGGCCCCACGCCTCTTAGCTGATTTTTACAAAATCTTCTCTTCTCCATTTTTACTCCACAGCCAAAACTGTTCCTGTTTCCTTAAATACTGTCTGATTCTTTGAGATGGGACTTCTAGATGTAAAGCAGATTTTAAATGTTTCTCATTTATGTTTATTATGCTAAGTAGGTGAAAAATGTCTATAAATTATTCTGCATGGTGACTAAGGTATGACAAGTGTCAGCTATGATTGTCATTATCAGTTTTCCATCTTTAGGAGACCAGCAGCATCTTAATAGCTCAGGAAGTTTTATTTCCAAGTTTCATTTGTTCATCACTGGTGCTTGATAGATGCCTGTGAGTGAATATATAAAACAGAGTAAGGTAAGAGCGTGCTTAACCCCAAAGGCTGAATGCTTAGGAAATTTCAAATGCAGTAGCACTTAGGATAAAATGGGTTTTATCAAAGGACCCTTCAGAATGCCTCTCAAATCGCGTTCCGCAGGTGACCATTGGGATGTGTTTTCACACTCTATGCTTTGAACAGAGAGAAACTTCCACAACATCAGACCTGCACTTATCTAGAACTTCCTTTCACTGAATGTATTTTGTTCAAGAATTCATTGACCAAACTCACTCTCCTGTTAATAGCAGTTCTCTCAAGATGGGAACTCAACTACCGATGCTTCAAATACAAGGACATACAGGAGCCTTTGCTTAATTTTCTTCACTTCCTACAGTTGTATTTATAAAAACAGAAGCAGTTCCTCTCCCACTACAATGCAATGGTGCAGCAAGATCATATTCTGAGGTCTTTCCTTAATAAAATGATGAAAAATGTAAAAGATGAAGCCATACATAGATGAATATATAGATAATTAGATGGCCATAGTAAGTAGAGTCAGCCCATCCCACTGAGCACCCCATTTATGCAGACCTATCCAATGTGTGTGGTATTAAATCGATTGCAGTTTTGTGTGGTTAATATGAACGTTATTTAACAATTTCTATTGCAAAGAATGTAAGTACAGAGGGTGGGAAGGAGAGCTGGGCAGAGCTGTCTTCTGGATAGACTACATGCCCATTGCACACATCAACTAACAACAGCTGTGCTTGCCTGACCAAGACCTACACAAGACCAAGCTAGTTAAAGTTCCAGCATGCGCCCCCACCCCCAAGGCCTACTTCGAAAGTAGGAGTTATTGTCAGTTATGGGTTGCTGAGGGAGAGAGAGTCATTCTCTTTTAGGGGCGTGGCTGCTGGGAGGCTGCTCATGCCCCTGTGGATGGCTCCACACCGGTGTGCAAATGTCACCACTAAGAGTTGGACTCAAGTTTATTATTAATAATAATTATTATTTTATTATAAGAGAGGATATGAAGTTGGGAGAGGGACAGTTTGGGATGTCCTGGGAAGGAAGCTGGAAGGAGATAGTGGAGAGTGGCTGTGATCAAAACATACTTTATACACATAAAAAAATTTCAAAGAAGAAATCTAAAACATTATTTTTAAAAGATCTTATAGAGCAGAGACTGAGCTTATATGACTAGATGAATGCACTTCCTATGGCATTATGCTGGGAATAAAAAGAAAAAGAAGAACATTTTTACTATGACTAGAAGAGAGTGAGCTTTGTATTAAAAAAAAAAAAAACAAAAAACAAAAACCAAGGACCTAAAAGCTCTGTGCTCTTGCCACACGGACAGTCTTCTAGAAAAATCTAGTATGGTGCTCTTTGGAATGTTTACTTTGATAGAAATTTAAAAGAAGCCTTCAATTAGGTCATTAGATCAGACATTCCCAACACATACATCTGCATTTTCTCCCTTAGGTTAATGTTGTGAAATTTGCCTTTTACAGGCAGTTTTAACTCCCTTGAGTGAGGGGATAGGAAGAAATTAAAGAACTCTGTAACACCTGTGCTCAGACCTCGTATTAGGAGCAGTGGATCTGGAGTCCAGCCAACAAGATCATTAGCTTTGTTTTGCTCTCCATTCATTCAGTTCCTGTGCACTGAGAGAGAGAGAGAGAGAGAGAGAGAGAGAGAGAGAGAGAGAGAGAGAGAGAGAGAGAGAAAACACTAGAAAATTAACATATCACAGACTGACTCTCTGCATCAGAAAGACAATTTCTGTAGTCACCCCATCTGTAAGTATCTGGGGTTCAATTTGCTCTCTAGCTTCTCTGTCCATGCTACCTAGCAACACCAGAATTCTTATCATTAATCATGACCTGGGGCACTATAATACAATCATTAAATATATTCCTAAGCCTTACTTACTAGGGCAGAAAATGGAATAACACACTTCAGAAAGATTTTGCACAGGAAGTGAAATTTAGAAAATGGTTTTCAATCTTCTAAATAGTTTTTATTTATCACATCACCACAGTTTGTGATGGAAGACACCATAAAATGATCTATATTTGCTTCCATGCATTGAATTTCATGAACATTCATTTAGTCCCACATATGTTGACCGTTGCCAGTAGTACAGGAAGTATGAATGTGAAACAAATGTGAAGTAACCCTGTCATTTGGGGAAGGGGTGATCAAAATATAGAACATAGGATAAGGTCACATTTGCATGATCCACAAACTAAGAATAGTTTCAAGGTTTTGAATGGTTGTATGAAAAGAAACAGAAGAGAACTATTTCACAACATAAAAATTATATTACATTCAAATGTTCATATTTGTATACTCTGGAAACAAGGATTTTTTCACTCACTTTTTTGTCTACGAATTTTACTTTTTTTGGTCTATGAATGCTTTCAGTCTGGTGGCTGAGTGGAGAGGCTAACAGAATAGGACCCACTTGGCCTACAAGGCCCTTGAAGGTTGTGTGCAGACACTTGCTTTAGAAGCTCATACTGTAATGGCATATGTAGACACACATATTTCATTTTCATAGAAAGGGCTAATGCTTTAATAGACACAAGTGACATGGGAAAGACATTCCATCTATTTGAAATCTGAGTTTATTGGGTATTTTTAATAACAATTAAGACAAAGGAAGTGAGGGAAAGTCCAAAGACATGGAGACAGGCATGGAGCGTGGGGACAGAGAACAACACATTAACAGAGAGTGTCTCTTGATGAAGTTCAGAGAGGAGGTTCAGAAAGAAGTGGAAAATGGGATTAAGGGGATACATGAAATCAGATTAGGGTTTCAAATCTACTCAGATCGTGTATCGCCATAAACAATGGTGATTACAGATGGAAAGCAGAAGTACTTGGTCAGATTTTGGCTTTGAAAAGATAATGCTAGCAGGAGGGTGGAGACCAGAGGAGGATGAAAGAAGAGGCAGAAGAGGCAGATAAGGGGTGTTGCAACAACCCAGGTTAGACATGGGGCTCTGCTCTGGGCCAATCAGTCACAGGAGTGGGGTGGAGCAGCGACATGCAAAAACATCTAACTAATTGAATTGGTAACTAACTTGGAGAGAGAGAAACATGATACCAGATAGAACTGAGTGATGGAGGAGACATCTGAACAAATCTTGATTTGCTGAATGCTTAACACCAGGTTTACAGAAGATCTTGGGTTCAATGCTCTTCCATTTGTGCTTTTTTTTCCTTCCTGAAACAGCTTAAAAGTTGATGGTACTGTTGTTGACTTCTAAGATATCTACTACTTCTTGTATTTCTCCATTCTGCCCCAGAATTGAAAAACAATAATTGAATCTTTGAAAACAATAAATACTTCCTAAAAGAATTAATAAGTAAATGCCCAGAGGCAAGCCAGGGAATGAAGAGACATAGGTTTGGAATGATTCAATCAGTGAGTTTAAGACAACAAGCTTTATGTTAAATATGAGACTTGAATCCATAGAGAGGAGAAAATACCCTGAAACATGTGCTCAGTGCTCTTCTGAGAGACTCTGATGCCATTAAAGGTCAACACTATAGATGTTGGTGAGACAGTGAAATCATCGAGTATTCTAGTTAGTTTGCTTAAAGACAGAACCCAGCTGCTTCTCTTGCTAACTTCTAAAACCACCCTGTTTAATTAAGCAAATACTGCATATCTTCACAGTTAGGTTCCTGTGTCACTTCAAAGACTTAGAGGCACAGACTTCCTGAATCTGTAAAGGAAGGAAAGAAGGGGAATGATTTCAATGCTTTAGTAAGTGACTTACCATCATCTATCACCTAGCACTACAATAAAAGAAAAATGTCAATTATTTCAGAATCCAACAACAGCACCATTAGATTGTAAATCGTGTTTAGGAAAGAAGACACGTATAAAATTTGAAGAGCATTGAACCTGGGATGATCTCTAAATCTGATGTTAAACATTCAGCAGATCAAGACCATAGTTGTATCACAAGTCTGTCACAGACTCATTGCCGCTTCTAAGACCATTGGGAAGTGGGACAGAATACCCATTGTCCAGGGCCAAGTTGACTGAAAGTGCATTGCAGAAGCTTAATGGGCCTTAGCTCCCCTCTCCTCTGCATGTACCTAACATCCACATGCTGTATTTTACATGAATTGTGCTCTTTTCATTTTGAAGGTTATCGCGTTATTGGAGGGGCATGTGCCGCTGTGTTTGGAAGTGAAACGACCCATGAGTGTCAGTTCTCCCCTTGTACTACGCGGTTCCTGGGGTCCAACTCAGCTTGCCAGACTTGGCAGCAGGCACCTTTTCTCTCTGAGCCATCCTGCCAGCATATAAATCACATTTTAATGGATATGGCAGTGGGCTGTTTGTGAAACACTGTATTAGGTAAGTGGAAACTCATTTTGACATGGGTGGACTTCATTCCTTCCTATACCTTGTACATTTTCAAGAGAAACATGTTATTCCATGCTTTCTGGAGCTTGCTTGACCAGAACAGAGCCACCACGAAATTCGCTACCTATGACACACATATGTTAATTATCTCTAAAAGTTATCTGGTGTTTGGTTTGGTTTTTGTTTGTTTGTTTGTTTGTTTGTTTGAGACAGGGTTCCTCTGTGTAGCTTTTGGTGCCTTTCCTGGAGCTCATTCTGTAGACCAGGCTGGCCGCAAACTCACAGAGATCCACCTGCCTGTGCCTCCTGCATACTGGGATTAAAGGCGTGTGCCTCCACTGCCCGGCTAAGTTACCTGGTTTCACAGGCAGTTTCAAAAAATATTTATTTGTGGTTCATGATCAAATTTGTGTAACCAGTCAGACTCTTTCTGTCCTCAGCTTCAGCCGTGTGCTGCAGGATATTGTCATTGGATAGCCAAATGTCTTGCAAGCAACAGAAAAATCTGATAAAAATTGACCCTCCGTTTTCATTTATGACTCTCTCCACTGTGTACACACACACACACACACACACACACACACACACACACACACACACA